ATCTCAGACTCATCCGCACCAGCTTGGAAGAACACACAGCCCATTATAAGCCCCATGAAAACGGTCATGCAAAACTTTATGATTTGCACCGTTGGATTTCTGATGATGTCTCGGAAGTCCCTTTTCAGCAACTCCCTCAGCTGAACTCGCAAGGAAGCTACTCGAGCTTTCGAATGAACTTCAGCCTGCTGAACAGCTTTCCCACGGAGCTCATCTATTCCTGACATCATCCGCTTCTCGAAGTAAGCTTTATATGCATCAACGAGAACTTCAATATTTTCCCTCGGTTCAGTCTGCAACACGTACAATACGTAATCAGCAGGATTGTAGTTACTCGGGCACTTATAACCACCATTTTCATAAAAGAAGTTGACAAGCTCCTTCCTGGGACCATCGTACACGATACAGCCTTCCGAAATAACTACGATATTATCAAACATAGCAAAGATCTCACTGGATGGCTGATGAACTGTGATCATGACAGGTACTCCATTAGCCGCTAGATCCTTGAGTACCTTCACAGTGGTAGTAGCGGCATAGGAGTCGAGACCAGTAAGAGGCTCGTCCAAGAATATCATCTCTGGTTTGGTGATGAGCTCTACGCCAACCGAAGTCCTCTTCCTCTCACCACCAGAGATACCCTTGATAATCTCATTACCAACAACCGTGTCTTTGCAGTTAGTCAACTTTAATGAGTCCAGAAGATTTGATACTAACTCATTCACCTGATATGATTTCGGTCCAACATAAAAAATGCCCCCTATGAATAGTACCTCTTTCCTGTTGGTATCAGCCAGCCTGAGATTAGCAGAGAAGCGAAGGATCTCTTCAGGGGTACTGGTCGCCACTAGAGTATCATCTTGCATCACATAGGCAATCCGATTCCGGAAGTGCACAGGGTCCTCCACCCTCCCATTAAACGACACAGCACCCTTGAAGGATCGGCCAGGACCCTTCAAGCCCTGTCTACCACCGAGCACGTTCATGAGGGTCGATTTCCCCGACCCCGACGGACCTAGCACGGCTGTCAGTTCCCCCGGTCGGAGTGTTCCAGAGCAGTCATTGAGGATCTTCTTGTCACCAACAGCGA